TTCATTTTTAACAACAGCATAAGTGCGGAAAACCCAACCCTTAAAAGCTCAATTTAGCATGATGCCAAAAGAACTACGAGATAAAGCTTTTTTAAAAAAGGCATACTCCAAACACCTACTGGTGGGTGAAGTAAAATTACAAACGTCACAAAATACTGCAACAGAAAGACCAAGGAATATAAATATGCACTTACCTTCATTTTTACTATTCTCTTTTAAACATATCTTGATGGCTTCTAATGCTCTTGGACTGGTAAAAACCAGGCCTCCATAACATTCTGGATGAGAGAGCTACTTATAAACAGTAAATTTAAGAAGTAAATAAAAAATGAGTAAATAAATTAAAAAAATTAAGTTGATCAATTCTTTATAATCTTGTGAAGAACAGAACAGCCTCAATAAATGCCTGAAACTGAAACGGGCAAATATTTCATTACTATCAGTACCCAGAGTATTTAAAAGAGAAACATATTACAAATCTCAAATTCAGAACAAAACTTGCACAGATTACGTTAATTCTGAGAATCTGTAGGAATGGACAAGGATTCTTGTCACTGAAATGAGCTGGAAGGATGGGCGGATGATATATGAGGTACGTACAAATTCATCCAAGAGAACAAAGTAGTAACACAGAGGGTACTATCCAGACAGCTCCTTGCCCCCTGCCCCCTCAAAGAACAGTTAAGATTACTAATGGGCTCTCAAAGATCCGTACAAAAACCCGAAAAATGTTCTTGGATCACTTGTCAATGCAGATCATGATACATTCAAACACCTAAGAAAGTTCAGTGCTGTTGGAGATTGTCAATAAAGGGAACCTCCTTCGGAAAACCTTTACAACATTTTGAAGTGAAATATATACATTGAAGAAAGAGTAGAAAGAGAACACCAATTATGCAATTTTTTTCCATGTAACTAGGAGATGCAGTACACGATTTCCGTACAATGTAAGGGTGAACCCCAGGTAACCTTTAGTTGTCACTACAGTCTTCTAATTTTTTGTTGGGACAAAATGCCCAATACCTGTGACTATCTATGGTCCATCAACCTAAATGTGAATTCTATCTGACCAACTTAATTCTTCAACAAGTATGGGCAACGTACTTGACGTTCTACACAATATTCTATTGTGTTGTATACAATATAGTATTATATACAACTGTGTTTGTGGAAACACAAAAAGAGGTACCACAAAGGGCATTATTAAATCAAGATAAGACATGGCATCTTGGCAACCATGGCCTAAATTATGTTGAAAATAAGACAACTGAAATAATTTAAAACTTACCTTTTCAAATAAGCTTTCAAGAGATATGAATTCAAATGACAAAACTGGTATCGAAGTTGCTTCAAATCCGTATAATCCTAATTCCTATCAAAAAAAGGTTTTCAGCTCTTGAAATAGATTTCAAACAGTAGTTTTTTCTTTTTCAAAGAATTGACTAAGTCAGCACAAATATTTCTTTTTACTAAAGTAAAATACAAAGGCATCTTATTTGGTTTTACTAGTGAATCTAGTTTGGTTTTGTTAGTTATTTAGTATTACAACATAATACTAAACAAACAGCTGCAGAACTGAGGCCTCCTACATAGCTACTGAATAGTTACAGTATACACGAGCACATAAGTCTGGAGTCCCTAAGTGACAAACGATCACCTAGTCCTGCAAATATTCTTGTACATCTCTGTATTTCTTTAAAGTCAATACAACTGCTCTTATGAGTAAGACCTCCTCACATGACCAAAGGCAAGAGCAGAAAGGACCACAGCAGCAGGTAACCTCTTTTTCACATTACATTCCCAGTAAGACTACTAACGTTTTTTGTAATCTTAATTCTATCCATATGAACATAATTAATATTAATTAATTAAAATGAAATTGTTTTAATATCAGTACTTTGCTGAGCTTTAACAGTGAATTCAGTATGAATGTCCCATAACTAAACTAATATTTTCAGTAACAGCAAATTTTCTAGCATAATTTTTTTCTTAGCATAATTTCAGACATGCACTCCTAATTTCGATTAAGCACATTTTTCACTTGAAACAGTTAAATTCATCTATCTTGCTGAATGCATGATACTATTATTTAACAGTGAAGTGACACAATTGTTTCCTTTTTTTAAAGTTTACTCACTTTAATATACGGATCTGGTCCTGAATCCTTGTCTTTGGGATCCTTCAGCAACAGAACCTTCATTGTTTACCAAATAACTACAAAAGAACTCTGAAATACAATAACAAAGTTTATCTAAACTAGATCTAGAGAACTTTCTACTAAACAGTGACTTTAATAGCCCAGCTTCAAAGAAACTGGGTTGCTAACAGTTTCACTGCTCTCTATACAATGAGTAAGCAGTTAACGTACATTCTTTGGGCATGAATATCCACCCTGATAAGACCAACAAATAACATGCTCTCTTTAGATAATACTGCTTAAGGGAGAAACTATAATGAAAGTCATCAAGGAGAATACATTTTAAAGGAGAATATTTGTAGAAGAAGTAGCAACCCCTACAATGCAGTCACGTTCAGCAACGTAATAAGCTCCTATCGATAAAAACTTACTCTATTCTATTCGTTTCCATGCTAGTTTCCACCCTATGCTCGTCATAATGAGTATGCAAGGGCTTATGTATCAAGTGATTTAATTTGATGCGTTTGGGGTCTAACCTTTTTCGTGGGGGAAAACACGTGCAGGGCAGTGTTTCAAAACTTTTTTAAAAAAACCAAACATATGTGTGTATATATACACACACTTATACATATGAATATAATATATATAATATTCATATGCCTTCTTTGATATATCCATAGTAAACAAGGCAAGACTGAAAAAATACATTCTGCCATTAAAATGGAAGATGACAGTTCTCAGTTCCTTGAAAGTTGACTTTGGTGCTGAATTCAAAGCCTGTTATAACACGTAAGCAAATATACCAAGCATCAAAGTAAACAAATGCAATAATACAAACAAACAAAAATCCTTTCTCTAACTGTACATTTACCTTAATTATCTATGTGTTACTTTCCTGATAGATTACATACTAGCAAATTCTCTTCAAAATGAATAATTATAAATATCCAAATATACCGAACATCTTAAATTTTATTCAATTGCATTGAAATCCTCAAGACTTCACCAGAGACAAAAAAAACTGTTCAGACAAAAATGAAAACAGAAAAGAGAAAAGGCAGCTTTAGACAACAATGGACAAAACGGGATCTGGTACAAGTAACCAGAGCTCAGTGTCACACATTCATCTTTAGCCAGAAGCACCGCAAAATGCAGGTGGTGAAAAGGGCACCCAAAGCACCACCCCCAGGAATTCAATATCCGACTGTGATACTACGTGAATTTTGTGGATTTTAAACTTCATTTTTTTAATCTAGGTTTTCAACTGTGGTGTCCTAATTCAGGTGTTTGATTCTGAACGTCTTACCATTAGACATGGAAGTGCTCATTTCCACAAGACTTCCAGCACTCAAAACTGACACGATGGAAACTGGTAGGGCTTTGCAGTTCTGAAATACCAAGGCCAGTAAAGTCAAATCGAATGACTAAAAACACGTAGAAGAAGAAACAAGGACTTTGTCAAGGGCCATATTCTCAAAAATGGTAATTCTTGCTAGAGCAAACGCCAAAGTAGATCCCATCCATGGCTTTCAAGAGTTAGACTCCCAAATACTCCTGAGTATCCAGTTGCTAGTAGCTTGAAGGAGGTAGGGCTAAATGACTTTTCTCAGTCACTTTAACACTGTAACAGTCTTTACTTTAAAAATCCAACATTCTTGTAAAAACCTAGTTTGCACACAGTTCTTTGTAGTATAGATTGTTGTTCTGATACTGAATTTACTAACAATCTTTACTATAACTCTACCTTCAGTGCTTATGCTCTAAGTATGACACATTTACATTTCTACTAGTACTCTTACAGTCTAACAGCACCAAGAAAAATGTTAACTCTAACCTACCACACCTTCCTATTTCCAAAATATATAAATTTAATAACATTATGAAGTTATCAAAATGTAAATATAAGGAAGAAAATAACAGTCCTTCCAAACTGTATAATACAAGCTAATACTTTTTGGAAAGAACAATTTCCAAAAGTATTGTAACAAAACCCTCAGATGACACGAGAGAGTTAATTCAGGTACACTTGGGGAAAGCAGATTTCTAATTAATTACTTTAGGTAGTTAGAAATGAATTAACTTCCCATCCTATGCCTTATTACTGTGTCAAGAAATGAATAACAATAAGAATTGGGTAAACATCCATGCTTAACAACATGACTTACAATAATCAAATTATTTTGTTTACATCCTGCATACAAAATATATGCTGAAACCAAAGAATAATTACAGAGTCATAAAGTATCATGAACTACTGCAAGATGCAATTACCTAGCTGTCTCCTCTACAAAGAAATCATGCAAGCTGTATTTTGGACTCGGCCATCTGGCTCACTTGTAAAAAGAGCAAGACTGCACAGCCCTGGCGCTCCTAGAAGCCGCTGGCTTATTTTCAATTCTGCCAGAAGGGAGCTCGTTTATCAACTTCAAAAAGGGGCTGCAAGTGTCCACCAGAAGACAAATTTGACCTAGGGAATCTATAAGTTTGTGCATTCATGAATAACATGTATTTTGATCTGCAAGTACCCTATGACTGCTTTTGGTTTTACTGCTGAAAAAATTAGTCTCTTTCCACAGCCATAAACCTCTCGGACTGTTCTGTTCTTTCTGCCTGTGTAGTTCAGATAGATTTGGTGACAGATGTGACCAAACGAAAACTAGTGGCATACACTCATTTCCAAATGCCAGGTCGTCACATCCAACACTATGGGTGCAACCCACCCGAACTCACTTTCTTAGCAATTTGTGCCCCACCACCACATCACTGTGAATTGGAGCAAAATGCCATCTTAACGGGCAGGCAGGAGAGAAGGCAGACAAGATCCCAAAGAGGGATAAGCATGCATGAGCACATTTTCAAACCAAAAATATGCCAATATACATTAAAAGGGTGAAGAAGTTAAAACTCCATGATGGATTCTTTTTGTGGGGAAAAAACATACACAGAAGTTTTTATGACTTGCTGCAATGATGCGAGGGTCCCTCTGCACTGGGAATGGTAAGAGAAATATAGTATTCTTAATGGTTTACTTGCGTCCTTGAGATGTTACTAAGGAGTGACCTACAAATGACTGAAATACAATTTTCCAAACAGCTAGCTTTCTGCTAAACATGCTTAGGGTCAAGAACCCTGACAAACATTCCTATTGAATCAAAGAGCATTACGAGGAAGCACATAAATAAGACATGCAGCATCTTCGGTAATTTTTGATGTATTCTGAGGGAAGTACTTAAAACACAAATATATATTTTAGATATCTTATACATTTTATCTACAAATTATATCTTATATATTAGATAGTTAATCAAGAGAGGTATGCACAAACTTCTAAACAACATTAAAAGTTTCTATTTAGATATGGATGGATTTAGCAGAGTCCAGCAGTGCTGAATCTCTATCTGGAAAAGAGAATGTGTACAAATAACCTTATTAAGTTTCACACTGCCAAGTCTTTGTTTATAGGATGATGCTGGCCACCTACTTTTGGCTCGCTAAACAAGCACTTTGTTTGCCTGAGCCCCAATAACAATCCTGCAAAGATTGCTCTTCAGATGTTAAAAAAATACCATTTAAAACCCATTAGGCTTGCAAACAGCCAATAAGAGGACAACAGATTTTCTGTCTTGAGCACACAGACACAAAGATGAAGAAAAACTTGTATTAGTCAGTCTGAGGTTTGGGAACCATCCCATTAGCTCTGACAACGAAGTACAAGAGCGACTGGAGTATCTAAGGCATTACATCACAACCGAAGTACAAACAGCTTGATGCTTCTGAGTCCACATTACTTAATTTTAAGTCCACCTTACTTAATTTAGAAGAAGGGTAATTTTAAGTCATGTTGCATATTCAGAATATTTTGCTTACAGACATAATTGAAATGCTTCCCGTTTACAGCATCAGACAGTAAAATTCCAACATCCCTGTGCCTTCAATTAAAATACAAAGCTGATTAGGATGTGTATTCCTGGTATTAGTACAGTAAAAAGGAGCAATACTCTCATATTAAAAAAACCTTTGCAGATTTTTTATATAAAACATTGTACAGAAAGAACATCTTGGTGGGTCACTCAACTTTCATTTCAAAACCTGTCCCCAACCTAACTGCAAACTATCTTTAATACAGAGGACAGCTTGTAAAAATAAATAAATGGGTCCTTTTGTTTCTTGCTGCTAAGTGACACTGAGAGCTGCAAAATGTACTAAACTTTTGTAATACCGTTCTGATTATAAGCAACTGTATGGGTCACAAAATAAGGTTTCATTGCCAAGTGCAAAGGGACTTGTCTGTTCCACCATAAACATAAATGGAGATAATTATAAGACACTATTAAGATATGATTTTTAAAAAACCTCTAAAAATGCCTGGGCTAGGATTTTTGATGCTATGCATTTCTTACCAATATTCTTTTACTATGATTAGATGGGTTTAATAACCAAAGAAAAAAAGCCTACCCGCAAGGCTGCCACGAAGTATGGTTCAGAAATCTTACCAAATTCACAGATACTGTAATACATATATCATCAAGATACGAAAACACAGACATGTTTGATACACAACATCAAAAAAAGATTTGAGAATAATTCCTGCTATTTGGGTGTCTACGTCACAAAACTCAACAACAAAACTAGTTCTTTGATATGGCAATCCAGAGGAGCAGCAAAGGACTCAGACCCTTCTACTACATCATGGATTTTTATCAAAAGCAATGTTAGTAATTAGTGTCATTCTTGACTGATATAGTTTCAAAAATAAAATGGAAGACTGTGTATAGATGCAGATTGCATCCTCACAGAGGCAGTTTTACTGCAGCAGTAAAGGGCTTTGCCAATATATCCTTCTCCACACTGTATTCTTTCCCTGCATATCAGTATTCATATTTTGGCAATTTCGACCTAAGTGCTCCCAGAGCAAACACAGCCCACAAAAAATAATAAAAAAGAAAACACAGACATGTTTGATACTTTAAAGAGACACGCAAATTCTAACCCATTTGGATTGTATTTATAAAGCCAAAATTACATCCCAGGCCCTGTGCCTTGCGTTTCTTCTGGCTGGCAAT